GTCCGAGTTCTTCAATAGAGAAGCTTTCTTTATCTCTTTTCTTAACTGTTTTTCATTACTTTTATTAAAACCAATGATGATGTCGAGCTCAGCCATGTCTGAGTAGATCCCGAGTTGGGCTTAGGGTTCCCGAAAGGGGCTCTCATAATCGATTAAGACATCTAGGTTTATAGATCTGGGATTTCGACCTGTTCTCTGTTTATTCTTGTTCTTATTGCATGTATGCTTGATTGATCACCTAGTATCTGATCTAGATAGTTAGTGTTGCGAAAGTTTTCATTAAGTATCAGCCCTAGAATGAAACAGGCGATTTTTCCGTAGGAGTGGAAACCTACCTGCGGCGAGATCGTGAGTATTGACGAGTCTTATGCAGCTCTTGCGTTCTCTCCCTTCCAGGACAAGAGTGAAAACCTACTGGTCAGGGTTGCGAGAAACAGTTGGTTATGATCACGACAGTGACGTAGTCATACCGCCGTACTCTAGCTCTAGAACCCATATATTGTTATCCGTCAATCACAATCTATCTACCTTATTGTTAATACCGATTATGATCCCTTAGAGTTCCCAAAAGCTCAGCGTTTTTAGCCATAGTTTACAATTCCATCGATTTTTACTTGCTTTCTTAGACCTGCATTTCAATTTCCTTAGTTCGTTATTTACTTGCCTTATTTACCTTTCATGCGATATTTTACTTGCCTTATTTTCGTTTAGTTCGATATTTTACTTATTCTATTTGCATTTCATTCGATTTCTTTACTTGCTTTTTAGGATAGATTTATTTACCTTCTTTTGTTTTAGTTTAATTTGCAAGAAAAACAACCAACCTTTAAAACCAATTTAGTCTAGCCATAAAGTTAAAAACCGTAGAAGAATACCAGGCACACAAATCTCTGTGGATTTGATCCCTAAATACTGCAACTGATTAGCTGTGCACTTGCGGCTTTCTTTTGTTTTGTTAAGGGTAAAACTTGTTCCCTCACGTAGTTGACACACTCAGCATCGCACATCACCTATCACCACCGAAATATTTACTTCATACTTTTATTGTTTTTGCTTTAGCTTTTAGGGAGAGAGAGATTTGTTCTCTTGAACCCTTGTTCTTTCTTTTTCAATTTCGGTTTCTATTCTACTTCTTAATACTATGCTTTTGATTTCGTTCATTATGTCTGAGTAGTTTTATTGTTGGGATTAAGGGATTTTCGATGGGGATTTATATGTTCGATGAGGATTCCATGAGCTTTTGAGCCGAATCTTAGAACTTTTTCTTTTGAATTCGTTTTTACTGCATGAGAGTAGCGTCATGAACTACAATCTGATCCAGATGCTTGGTGACACGAAGGTGTTCATCAGGTATCAGATCTAGTTTGGGAAAGCAAAACAAACATAGGAGTGGAAACCTACCTATGGGCGATTTGTGAATTAGGACGAGTCTTAAACATAATGCATCTCTTCTCTTCCAGGGCCAGAGTGGAAACCTACTGGTCAGGGTTGAGAGAGATAGTTGTCTATGATCACGACAGTGGCGTATTCATACGTCCGTGACTCCAGTTCGAAAAGTTTAAGCTAAGATCTTACCAATTTACTCTCTAGCAATGTTTTGAATCGTTCGTACCCCTGAGAAAACTTCCTTGAAGCCCAACGCCTTCTTTCCCATTGATTTACACCGATTTTCTTTCAGCCTTAATTCAATATTGTCTTTCCTTTTTAGTTCATTTTCATTTAAGCAATTAGATATCCGATTTTTACATTTTTAGTCATTTTCGTTAAGTTTAGTTATTACGTCATTTAATTCCCGTATTCTCTTTTAATATTTCGTTTTTACATTTTAAACACACTACCAAACCCCCATAAAACCGTTTTGGTTCTAGACTTCCTTACTTTATACTTATTTCAAAGGTTTTTTGCAGGAAAAGATCCTCCTTCCCTGTGGATTCGATCCCTAAGTACTACAATCGATCAGCTGTGCACTTGCGGCTATTGATTTCAATTAGGGTAAAACTTGACAACCCTCGACATCAGGTCACCATCAATACCCTACAGACAAGTTACGGTTTACAACCAACATTGAATATGAGCAATGAAGAAAGTGTGGCAATATTTCTACAGACATGTGAGCATAATGAAGTTTAAAGAGATGTTGGTTTGAGATTTGACAAAAATCAAGAGACTGTGCATAGAAAATTTATTGAAGTTCTTATGGTGACTGGATTACTGGCATGTGATTATATTAGAACTATAACAAAAGAAGATCTAGACAGAATTCCCGAAAGAATTCTGCAAGATAGAAGATACTGACTAATTTCAGTGGATTTGTTAGAGCTATGGATGAGACTCATGTATACGTAAAAATGAAGTCTATTACCAGAAATGTAGCAAAATCGACATGATAATGCATCTTTGAACATTATGACAATATGTGAATTGAATATGTTATTCACATATATTTTGAATAGAGCACCATGATCATGTCCTGATACAGCCATTTTGACAATAGCACAACAAAGCGATTCTGATTTTCCTTTGCCGCCGTTAGAGAAGTATTATCTCAATGATTCTGATTATTCTAATAAACAAAGATTTTTTTTGTTCCGTACATATCATCACGAATCAGAGTAGTGAGATACCACATGTTGCAGTTCAATTCTGGTCTTGTTCCTAGGAATAAAAAAGAACTCTTCAATCGAAATCATGCGTTTTTGCGTTTAATTATCGAGAGAACTTTTGGAGTTACAAAAAAAAATGGAGGGTTTTTCTGATTTTCCAAGATACAGAATAGTATTCACATATAAATACAAAAGAGAGTGGTAGTGGCTACAATATAATTATATAGTTTTTAAAAAAAATCAGATTTTCAGATGTGGATTTTTAAAATGCAATGAGAGAGCCGGAATCAATATAAATTCAAAGATGGTGGATCCCAAAAAGACAAGAATAAGTTTAAAGATATGATAAACTAAAATTTTTTTATATTTTATTTAACTTTTTTTTTTCTCATGAGTCTTTCATTCTGGACAAATATCTTTGTATGGTCTCTTGAACTCTGTAAACGAATTCTATAACTTAGAGGCATAGACAGCAAAAACAAGGATGTATTAGTCTCTAAAGGATGTTGGAAAATGTCTCATAAAACTAATGTCCAAAATATTTAAAAATTTAACTTCTAAGATGACGTTTTGTGGAATCGCATTTTTTTTTTCCTATTTGTGTACATGCATCACATCGTGAGATAAAAATTTAGGCATTTTTGAACATAGTAGGTTACCAGAAAGCAATTTGTAGTATCTATAAAAGCATTCTTTAAGGAGGCATAGTTACCAACATAAGAAAATAACACTTGTTACTTTTTCTTCTGAAATGCATCCTCAAAACATCCATTTGAGCATTTCTTGTGGAATTCATCCCAAGGAATCTTCTAATTTCACGCAAGAAATTATTCTTCTTTTATCCAAAGAACTGTGGTGGTGTAGTATATGCGAGGTAGTTAGACATGTGTTAATACCTAGGTGTATTAATGGATATGGCTAGGCTGGATATGGGTGGGTCTGATTTATGTTACAAAGGACAGATTCAATGGTGTAGACATTTTCTTCTGATATAATATTATTAAATAATACTGGTTATTCAATCCTAATTTGATAAATATGATATATGACTCTATTATATGCACTTCTTCTATCTTGATCTCAGGATCAAATTCTTGAAGTAGGAGAATCCATCAGAACAAACATGGCTTAGCATTATTGTTAGATGAGAGATATTTAAGATCAGAATGATCAATATAAACAATCATCTTAGAACTCACAATATAAGATCGAAGCTTCTCAAATGTGAAGATAATAGTTAAGGGCTTCTTTTCCGTTGTTGTGTTGTTGCATGTGCCTCATCTAAGGTTCAACTTACATAGTATATGAAGTGAACCTTTTTCTTTCTACATTTTCCTAACAATGCTCATTCTGCATAAGTACTAGCATCATATATAATTTCAAAAAGCAATTCCCAATTGGATGGTTGTATAATTACTGCGCTGGCGTGGTTTGTCTCGACATTATCATAAGAGTCAACTCATATAGTTTTATTATTGCTTACCTTCTCGGGTATTGCTACCCAAATGTTTATATTACTTTTCCGGGCATTGCTGCCTGGTTTATGTTGAATATTTAAAAAACAACCTATCTTTGCTGAATCAGTTATCTTCCTACTACTACACTCTCCTGATCAAATGGCACAAACTGGTGGATTCAGGAAAATGTGACTATTCATTCTGATTTGGTTTGAACCAATGTTTTGAGAAAATGTTGCGGCATATAACTTCTTATAAGTCCTATGGTTTGACCACCTAGTTTCATAGTCGCACCCCTTCTTAGTGTTACGTTTTTAGGTTTAGTGGCCAATGATTACTTCATTGTATGTGTTTTTATGTAATTTACTGTCTCCAAAAAAAATATCTACCTCTAATAATTTTTATAAAATTTTGTTTACATAAAGATTTAGTTCGATTTGGTAGATAATCTGGTTTGAAATGCTTAATTTGACCCTAGTATCTTAAGTTTCTGATTATGTAATTTGCTCTCTATTTGTTAATTTATATTTTTAATTATGCGAATATTTTTAATCTTTTCAATTTTTTACGTAATAATTTCTGTTTTAAGGAAATGATCAAAAGATGGTGTAATGTTATTTTTACTGATTTTTAGTATATGGTGCAAGTTTTGTTTTCATAGAGAAAGCTGTTAAGTATTTAAATTCTTATGAAAACAAAGACAGAAACCGGAATATATAGGTATCTGTAAAGGTAAAGTCGGAAAAAACATTATTTTCCGAGGGAAAAGCGAAACCAGAAGAAAAAAAAACAACTTTAAATTTTGATTAGAGTTACTATTACATTACTTATTAGATTTGAAAATATAAAGAAAAAAACGAGTTGACAAGGGAAAAAGTAATTGTCGGAAGAAAAAAGTGGGATGATTGACTAATTAATAAAGAAAAAAAAACAATGAAAAATGGTGTGCTCTCCTATTGAATGCGTCCACCTACAAAAAACCAAACCCACTATTCTTCTTCTTCTTCTCCCTCGAGGTTTTTTCTTCTTCTCCGAAACAATTCCTTCATTAATTGTCTTCTACTTTTCACTCTGTTTACTCTTTTCGATCTCCCAAACACCAAACCTGACAGACCCATCTTCTCCAAAACCCTCTTCCTCCGTCGCTCCCCTTCGTGGGGATGCCGAATCTTCTTCACCTGCGTCCTCCGATCCTCCGCCTCTTGCCATGATTTCTTCCAGAGATCCCGATGCTCTCTTCAGTGGCGGCGGAATCAGGTTCCCTATCTTTCACCTAAAATTTGAAATCTCGCTTACCCAATTCATCAATTTTCGATCTCAATTGGTCTTTAATTGTTGGAAATGTTGTAGCTTTCTAGCGGGAAATCTGCCTGTGAAGTTTAGTTATGGGTACTCTAGTCTCAAGGGTAAACGAGCAACAATGGAGGATTTCTTCGAAACTCGAATATCTGATGTTGATGGACAAATGGTTGCTTTCTTCGGTGTCTTCGATGGTATGTTTAATCTGTCTCTGTAACACATTTTCTCTCTTTCTCTTTCTCTCTTTACTATTTGGATTGTTTCTGATTGCGTTTTGTTGCTTTAGGTCACGGTGGTGCAAGAACTGCAGAGTATCTTAAAAACAATCTTTTCAAGAATTTAGTTACTCATGATGAGTTTATCTCAGACACTAAGAAAGCCATTGGTATGAATGAGAAATTTTTTGTGTCTTTTTAGTACATTTTTGTTTTGTTTCTATTTTACTGAGAGACTTTGGCTTTTGATTCTCGCAGTCGAAGGGTTTAAGCAGACGGATGAGGAGTATCTCATTGAAGAGAGAGGACAGCCGAAGAATGCTGGCTCAACCGCATCAACTGCTTTGCTTGTAGGGAATAAGTTGATTGTTGCCAATGTCGGTGATTCTAGAGTTGTAGCCTCTAGAAATGGTTCAGGTTTTACTGTCTTTCTTCTCTGCAAACTCTTAATTGATTACCTTCCCTTTTAAAGCTTATTTTTTCTGTATATGTGACGACGCTCCTTTGTATGTAATGTAGCTGTTCCACTCTCTAATGATCATAAACCTGATAGATCAGATGAGCGACAAAGGATTGAAGATGCTGGTGGCTTTATAATCTGGGCTGGTAAGAGTTTCTCTGTTTCCTTCTTCTTACTCGTGTTTAAATTCATTATAGTGTAGATTGCAGTCAGTACCGTTGCTGCTTTTTATACTCATTTGTGGTACTGGACATGGAATTTAGAGATATCTGATACAACATTGTTTTGGAGGAACTGTGGTTTCGGACGTTTAGTTATTGATTCGTTCCCTTTGAAACACAACAGGAACGTGGCGGGTTGGTGGAATTCTTGCGGTCTCTCGGGCATTTGGGGATAAGCAACTTAAGCCATATGTTATTGCGGAGCCAGAGATTCAGGTACTTCGATGGTTTACTCTCTTGTTGCATTGCATAGTCGTCGAGCTCTCTAGATTCCGAGCATTTAGTACGTGTTTTATGTCACATTTCTGGTTAAGTCACGAAATGTGTCGCCATTATAGGATTGTCCTTTTTGCTGATTGAAATGCGCTTGTGCGCATACTCACACTCAGTACTCTTATATTTTCTTAGGAGGAGGATATAGGCACGTTGGACTTTATTGTTATTGCTAGCGATGGGTTGTGGAATGTCTTGTCAAACAAGGTTAGTTTCTTTGTTTTGCACTATGGTTAGTTTTGAAAATGCACATTTCTATAGACGGGACTTTTTCCAAACCTTCTCTCAAAGAACTTAGTACCCAACTCTCAAAACTACTTTTTTCCAGGATGCTGTGGCAATTGCACGTGACATTTCAGATGCGGAAACAGCATCAAGAAAGCTCGTGCAAGAAGCTTACGCAAGGGGTAGCTGTGACAATATCACTTGCATTGTTGTTCGATTTGAGGTTTCTTGAGAAAGAACCAAAGTGGTGTCAAAAAGAGAGAGAACCAAAGTCGTATATGGTTCTGCTGTGAGTGTATCATCTTCAGCTGTTGCCTTCCCCCTTCCATGGGCAATTAAAAACAAGATATAATTATGAGACAGTGCCCCCTAATTTTTCATACAACACATGTAGTTTCAGCTACAATTTGTCTCAAGAAACGATTTTTATTTCGCAAAAGGAACTGAAATACATAGTTACTTCTTATTAGTCTTCAAGATATAATCAAGAGCATATAGATCTACTTATGTTTCTGCATCTGGTTCGGCTTCTTTAGTCTCGGCCTCTTCAATCTCTCCTTCTTCCTCCACTCTGTTATCTTCTTCTTTCTTCATCTTCTTTGTTTCCAGGAATTCAAGGAGACCTTTGAGTGCAATATCAGCATTCTTACTCGCCATGAGCTGCTGCGTGATTTCAGCCGGAGTTACACTCACCTCAAGGACGAGCTTCTCGATGGGATCAAACAGGACATGGTCATTAGTCTTGAGGTACATAGCCACAAGCTTCTTGAACACATAGGGCGTGCAATAGTCCATGTGAATATGAACGTCCATTCTTCCTGGCCTCAGCAACGCCGGGTCGAGCTTCTCCTTGTGATTGGTTGTGAAAATTATGATTCTTTCTTCTCCGCAGCTCGACCAAAGCCCGTCTACAAAGTTCAACAGACCAGACAAAGATATCTGTCCAGGAAGGGAAGACTCATAAGGTTCAGAGACTGAGAGGTTAACAAAACAGAGGAATTTTTTCGACTTACCCCAACTTGGAACTTCTTCTTCTTCCGCTTTTGGGGCTCACCATCATCTTCATCGCTATCGTCTTCCTTTTTCTTTTTCTGGCGTCTACGAGAAGCATCAGATCCACAATCAATGTCTTCAATGAGAAGAATTGACCGGTTCTCTGTGGAGATGAGAATATTCCGCAACTCACCATCATCACTAATGCTCTGAAGCTGGAGATCATAGATATGGTACCTCATGTGATTAGCAATTGCAGCCACCAGAGAGGATTTTCCGGTACCTGGTGGACCGTAAAGAAGATATCCACGTTTCCAAGGACGTCCCACGCTCTTGAAGAAGTCTTTTCCTTTAGAGAAAGCGTCAAGATCGTCGATCATTGTGGTCTTAAGGTTCGGCTCAATGGCTAGCGTCTCGAAGGTTGTGTGGTGTTCGAAAATGGCGGCTTCCCATTCGTCTTCGCTGTAAGTGTAGATATGGAGATTCTCGCGATGTTTAAGTGTCTTCTCTGCTGATTTAGTCAAGTATGTGAAGTAATCTGTCATTATCTTCTCACGAAACTCCTCCTCACATGTCAGATGAAAGTACCTAAAACATCCACGAAAGCAATCAAAAAAAAAAAAAAAAAAAGATTAAAGATTAGAGTCAAGGAGAGGAGAAAAACAGATTGTACCGTTTCTCGTAAGGATACAACTTAGTTTCAGAAGAGTGTAGAGTCCACTCGAGATGAATCCCTTCGAACTCATCGATGATTTTTGTGTTTACAGGGACTCCAAGTTTCAGCTGAGCCTCTGGATTCTTGAGACTGCTCGAACCCACGACGAGTTTTCCGGTGGAGAGTCCGGCAAGACGCCTCTGTAAGTAAACTTCGGCCGCACGGAAAGTCTGGTTGTCCACAAACTCCCACTGTTTCTCGATCACAAAGGTGAAGCTCGACTGAAAGTTAGACGAGAAGATGTTTACAAATTTCAGACTGATGTAATCTCGGATTTCCTTAGGCAAAATCTCGTTGAGGATAGTACGAAAAAGCATCATGATTGCAGAACATGTTGTGTAGAGAGAGAAAACTGTAGATACAAAAGGGACTTGATTATAGAGAGAGGTCATTTTTTTGTAAGGAAGATGATGAAGAGCGTTGGTAGAGAGTTAGAGTTTGCATTTTCTTACAAAGAGAGAGATTGCATTTTCAACATATATAGTTAGAGCTTTCGTAAGATAATTCACTAAAAAGATGAATGTTTGGATAAAATAAAATTAAATGAAAAGTGCTAAAAGTTTTAGAAACAATAAAAAATATGAATGATATTTTGAGAATTTATAAGATTTAATTAATATACAGCTAAAGAATAATGTAATTGAGATTTTTTTACTAAAATGAATTCAATATCTCATAACTTTTAAAGTACTTTAAATTTATATAAATTTGAAATTACTTGTTATGTTTAAGTAATAATGTATGAATCTTTCCGTTTTAAAATAATTCTTCTTTTTGGTATTTTTTGAAAATATTAAATGAAAATTGAGTAATTAAGAAAAAATGGGAAATGTAAATGAGAAAGCAAGAATATTGACAGAAAAGTCTAAAATGAAACAAACTGAAACATTTTGAAAGAAATTTTTATTTTTAAAAACTTGTTTTCTTTTTAACATTTTATATTTAAAATTACAAATATATCCTAAAACTCAAAAATATAAATGTGTTAAAATATATTTTTGTTATAATTGGGTGACTAATCTATTATAGAACTAAGATTGATTTTGTTCAATATCAATGCTATTAACTGAAAATGAAGTTTATAGCAATGCGCAATTGATAATTAGTTCTTTCTCTTATTCAAAAATTTGATAAAAATACCCTTATATTTACATAAATTAGATTTGAGTTCTTTTGTGTACTTACACCTCAAAACTTTGTGTTAACCCAAATATCATATGGTGTGTTAATGTGTTAAAAAAAAATCTTAAAGTAATATGCTAACAATAATATCTAACACATATAAGTGCTAGCATAGTAAAAATTTTGATAACATTTGTGGATAAATTAAAAAAACGTATGTAGTTTTTAGTAGATACCTGTTTGCTATTATAGTTATATGTTATATTTATGTTTATCGTGTTCACCTAATTATCATATAGTATGTTTAAAAACTAACAATAATATTTAATACTTGTAATATGCTAATATTAATATCTTATATTTAAATATGCTATTATATTAAATATTTGGATAATATTTGTATTAAAGCGGTAAGATAATAATTATTAAAAAACATTTATATGCTCCAAGGCTCCAAACTACAATATATGATCTATGGATGGAGAGAAACAGGCGAAGACATGGAGAGAACCTATCCCCACCAGTCCGACTGATCAAATTCATCGACAAGACTACTCGGAACAGACTCAGCATCATAAGACTCCAAGGCGACCTTTCTTTAGAAGGAAATCTGATCCTGTTCTCAACTAGGATTTAGTTATTATAATGTTATCTAGATTCAAAATTATATTTTAAAAACAGCTGCACTTGATGTAACAATAGTTTTTTGATTGAATAAAATTTTACATTCAATTAAAAAAAATAAAAAATAAAAATAAAAATAAAAAACGCACATTTCTAGTAATCGGACTTGTTGCAAACATTCTCTAGATCCATCAGAAACAAGGATCTGACTTCCTAGCTAAGAAGTAACCGCAATAGAACTGCACATTTCAGATGCGGGAACAGCAACAAACCTGGTGCAAGAAGCATACGTACGGGTAGCTGCGAAAATATCACTAGCATTGTTGTTCGATTCAAGGTCTCTTGAGAAAGGATCAAAGTTGGACATGGTTCTGCAGTGAAGTGAATGTTTCATCTTCAGAGGTTGATTTCAATCATATAGTGGTTATATAAATGAAAAATCATACTTATGAGACTCTATGCATAATAATTATTCATACATCAACATGCAATTCAGCTACAATTTGACTCATCTGGTCTGAAAGAAATGAAATTTATTGCCAAAAGGAACTGAAATACAGAGTTACTTCTAATTACTCTTCAAGATGATCAGTAGCACTAGGGATCCACTTATGTTTCTGTTTCTGGTTCTGATTCTTTAGTCTCAGCATCTTCAATCTCTCCCTCATCCTCCACTCTATTATCTTCTTCCTTTGTCATCTTCTTGTTTTCCAGGAACTCAAGTAGACCTTTGAGTGCAATATCAGCATTCTTACTTGCCATGAGCTGCTGTGTGACTTCAGCTGGAGTTGCAGTCACCTCAAGTACAAGCTTCTTAATGGGATCAAACAGGACATGGTCATCAGTTTTGAGGTACAGAGCCACAAGCTTCTTGAAGACAAAGGGAGTGCAATTGTCCATGAGAATGTGAACGTCCATCCTTCCCGGCCTCAACAATGCCGGGTCGAGCTTCTCCTTGTGATTGGTTGTGAAAATTATGATCTTTTCTTCTCCACAGCTCGACCAAAGCCCATCCACAAAGTTCAACAGACCGGACAATGATATCTGTTTAGAAGGTTGACTTATAAGCTTCAGAAACAGAGGTTATAACAAAACAGAGGAATTTTTGTCGACTTACCCCAACTTCAAACTTTTTCTTGCGCTTTTGGGGCTCACCATCATCTTCATCGCCATCGTCTTCCTTTTTCTTTTTATGTCGTCTACGAGAAGCATCAGCTCCACAATCAATGTCTTCAATGAGAAGAATTGACCGGTTCTTGGTGGAGGTAAGAATCTCACGCAACTCACCATCATCTCTAACGCTCTGTATCTGGAGATCATAGATATGGTACTTCATGTGATTAGCAATTGCAGCCACCATAGAGGATTTTCCGGTACCTGGTGGACCGTAAAGAAGATATCCACGTTTCCATGCACGTCCCACGCTTTTGAAGAAGTCTTTTCCTTTAGAGAAAGCATCAAGATCGTCGATCAAGCTCTTCTTGAGTTGTGGCTCAACGGCTAAGGTCTCAAAGGTCGTGTGGTGCTCGAAAATAGCAGATTCCCATTTTGACCGGTCTTGGTTATAAGTATAGATCTTGAGATTCTCACGATGGCTCATTATTTTCTCTGCTGATTTAGCCAAATATGTGAAGTAATCTGTCATTATCTTTTCCCGAAACTCCTTCTTACATGTCAAATGAAAGTACCTGAAACATAAAACATCCACAAACAAATAGTGTTAAGATAAAAAGAAATCAAGATTAGAGTCGAAGATATGTGAGAAACAGAGTGTACCGTTTCTCTGGGAGATACTTCTTACTCTCAACAGAGTGAAGAGTCCACTCAAGATGAATCCCTTCAAACTCATCTATGATCTTTGTATTGACTGGGATTCCGAGTTTTGGCTCAGCCGCTGGATTCTTCAGATTGCTCGAACCCACGAGGAGTTTTCCGGTGGAGAGTCCGGCGAGACGCGTCGGTAAGTAAACTTCGGCTGCACGGAAAGTCTGGTTCTCGACAAACTCCCACCGTTGCTCAATCACAAACGTGAAATTCGTCTGAAAGTAAGACGAGAAGAAGTCCACAACTTTCAGAGTGATGTATTCTCGGATTCTCTTAGGCACAATCTCGTTGAGGATCGTACGGAAAAGCATCGTGATTGCAGAAAAAGATGTGTAGAGAGAGAAAACTGCGGATACAGAAGGGACTTGATTATAGAGAGTCGCCATTTTTTTTTGTTTTAGTGAAGATGATGATGAAGAGCTTTGGTAAAGAGTGAGAGAGAGTTATGAGCTTATTTATGAAGAGTTGGAGAGTGGTGAGCAAGAAAGTTTGCATTTTCAACATTTAAAAAAAAAAAAAAGTTTGTATAATCAAAAAAAGAAAAAAGAAAGTTTAGATTTTTAGGGAAATTGTATGAAACTTGGTGGAAATCTCCAAGCATAGATGAGAAAGTGGGAGACGTCATTTAAGTCAAGAGAAAAAGACAATGCGAGTCACATCTCACTTTAAGAAAAAAGACTTTACACAACTGTAAACAAATTGAAATTCCTTTTCCTATCTGTGACTATATTTGTTTTAAGATCTAACTTTCCATTAAGATATACGTAAATTAACTATCTATGTATGCAAATTAACAAATGAACGACGTTGTAGTACAAGTGATTAGGTTTGAGGCGTGCAAATATATTATGAACTATGATTTAAGTGATAAAACTATGATTTGAATATGGCTTTTGGAGGGTTTCCAAAAACTATAGTTCTCTTTAGTTACCAAATATAATCCACAACATGATAGTTTCTAGAGTTTGAAGATTACCACAACATTCCAGTTGAATGAGTTGTGACAAGAAACGGCTGCACCAAAATATATACAATGATATTCAACTAAAATATATAAGATGAGTTTTTCATCAAGATATATTGTCTATTGATTTGTGTTATATCAATTATGTCTCTGGATTTTCGTAACAAATATAGTTAGAAAATTTATTTGTAAGCAATGGAATGGCAGAAAAAAACACAATTCTGAAAATATTTTGCTAATTAACAAAAACTAATGCAATTAAAAACTAAACACAAAAATGCAATCTGCATTTTTGCTGAAAAAAATACAAAAAAAATTATTATCCAGAAAAATGAGTTTTAAGTAGATTATTCAATTTTGAAAAAAAATTTCGCCATTCCGCAATTACTCAGGTTACAAAAATCAAAGCCTATAGAAGTTGATGAGATTTTTAGTCTGGTCTAAGCTAAATCAAGAGTTTTGTAGTTAATCAGCCTGATTCTTCATTGAGCCATAGTCGACGAATACTGGTGGACACTAGACAACAAAACAAGTGGCATGCCGGGATTTAAACAATATGATATATTTTTTGCGAGAAAAAACAAAAGAAAAAGAAAATGATAAATTATACATGTATGTAAATTATTACACGCAAAGGAAATTGGTGGAAACTGACGTGTGCATGAAACTTATGTACAACAAACGAGAGTGGTCGGTCTATTTCAAAGAAAATAGAAAAGGAAAAATAAATAAACGAGAAAGGACTTGTTGGCTAAGTTACAAAGATTCTAAATGGAGGGTCGTAATTTGTTTGATTCTTGTATTCTTTATTAATTTGAATGACCAATGTAAAGATGGTCGTGCCAGATGGCAATTTTTTTTTAATAAAATGAATCTAGTCTATAAAGTACTTGTGGTGACTTCTATAGTGTAAGTGTAATGTATCTGTAATTATACACCCTACGATTTAACGACCATGCTATTTAACCATTGTTGCACCTTTCGGTCCAAAGGAGAATGCAGTAGTTGATTTTCTCACACTATATATATATATATTTTTAAATTTAATTTTTAGTTAGATTTGTGTCAATATAACACAATTGTTTTGAAAAAAAAACTTAGGTAGACAGTTAACAAAAAAAAATGAAGTAAACACTACAGAAAAAAAAAGGCAAAGAAAATTTTATATGTGAGTGTGTTAAAATTCATTTTTCTCATAATCAGTTTTTTTCTGTAACACCTTTTAATAATATTATGCAAATGCATTCAACTTTAGTATCAAAGCAAATATGATCCGAAAACTTTAAATCTAAACCTAAAAACTTCTTTTCATAAAATAAAAGCTTTCTATATTTGGATGGAGTGTAAATTTGTTATAGACATCGTAGACGGAACAATTCTTGAGTTCACTCCTAGGACGAATTCACCTTTTTTATTTTAACCAATGAGAATTTACCATATAATAAAATCAATTAAAATAATTTATCAAAATAATATATTTTATACTCATTTTAGTCAATGATAATCTGCCATATAATAAAATCAATTAAGGTAATTTACCAAAATAGCATATTTTAAATATTTTTTCTTAATTAAAAAAAACTAAACACTAATTTAGAAATAGTGAACCCAAACATAATATTAAAATTTATGTAGAATTATTTTTAATAAAAATATATTTTTACATAATTATTTGTTTTACTTTCAAAATTTTAAATAAAAAAACTAAATCGTAAATCGGAGATAGTAAACTCAAATATAATATTAAATTTTATTTCTATTTATTTTTAATAAATATATATTTATATGATCATTTTTTATTTTTAAAATTTTAAACCATAATCCCTAAATTCTAATTTTTAAATCCTAAATTTTAATCTGTATACTCTTCTAAATCATAATCTATAAACCTTAAGAAAATTAAACTAAAAACTACACCCTAAATTCTACTCTTTATATACATTATTTAATAATATATATATATATATATTTTTAATTAAATATTTGATGAATATTTAATCTTTTAATTTTAATTTGGTATATTTATTTAAAAATAATATTACATAACAAATTCTCATTGATCAAAATGAAAAGGGGTAAATGAATAAATTATCCTCTACAAGTGAACCCAAAAATTTTCCTCATAGAAGAGGCATGTGCATGCCTTCCTCGAAAAATATATCATCCACAACACAAAACTTTTATAAAACATCAGAACAAATTTTTGTAACAAGGTTTAAAGAAAAAAAAAATTTTACAACACTTTTTAATTGTATGAAACCAACATATTAAGCTTTTATATAACATCAGAACAAATCTGATCTGAAAGCCCTAAATCTAAAGCGAAAAACTTCTTTCTTCTTTTCTTTTTTTTTGACATCAAACTTCTTTCTTCTTTCAAAATTATAAGCTTTATATAATTGTACCATGTATGTATCGCATGCAAATTTGGTCTAGACGAAACATATGCTTATATCTACCGTCCAAAACACATACACCCGCTTAATTACTCTCGACCCACTCTAAACATCCACTAACTAGTGTGACATGTGTGAGTCGAAATTAGATGGTACTATATTTGTGACTCACTATTCGCCTTACATTACATGTATATTGGGAAAAAGTATGTACATAAACAAACGGTATCACTCGACAGTCTACACAACATGTGATAGATCATAGATGATGCGTAGATCCTTTCGTTTTCGTGTGGGAAGATGAAGTATTCTGTGAATTTGTTTGATTGGAATAACGAAATTACTGTAGTTAAAAAAAAGAACTCTAGACCTTTCTTTGCATTATTATTAGCTCTTTACATTTAGCAAAAAAATTATTAGTTCTTTGCTTTCAAAACACTTTGTACGAAGTTATGACGCCTACCGAGGGAAATTTTTTTTTTTTGTCCTTTTCTATGCTGTTGTTATTGTAATTGTGTAATTTCGTGTGTTATATTATTTGAGTAGTTTGTTCCAGTGTTGGCCTTTGTAGCTAGTTTTCGCCTTTAAATGCCACTCATAAATGAAGAAGCAAATCTTCTCAAGAATTTTCATTGGTCTCTTTGTAGCATCTTTCAAAATCAAATACAACTCCACAAATCCTAATTTTGTCAAAATAGAAGCAACTAAATTAGGAAATGGAAATAAAATAAAACAAGAACAACTTGTCACGACTCTATTAATTTACTCCAAAATTCAAGTTGTCATAGAAAAAGAAGGTGATAGAGACCCTTAATAACAATGATACGAAAAATACATCTTATAATCAAATTCGATACATCAGTGTACTGTGCAATACTATTAACTACTTTTATAGTGGAATGAAATATTAAAATTAGTTCGAGCTCCACGATTAATTGATACAGCCTGATGTTAAACTAGATTAAAAAATAACTTACTAAATCGAACTTAGGAGTTCTTGATAATAAAAAGTAATCTTGTTAGTAAAAATGTTCTTCAGACCAATGAAGTTTCTGATCGTCAGAATCCCAAGACAGTAATTCCAAGGTTGCGCAAGTATCATAACCTCCATGAATCTGCAACTGGTCATCCTCGAAGATGTACACACTACTCTTTATACCGATCTTGCTCGATCCCTGAGCGCATTTCAAGTTATGTTTATTCATGGCGTATCTTATCCTCACTGAATTCTCCCAGCGCCAAGTCATCTCGTATAACTTAATCAGAACCCGATAAGGAAACGACGACTCTGGTTCAGATCCCAACATTATGTCTGCTACTGTCTCAGCGAGTCTCGTGTATCCGAGATCCAGAGATGCACAGATAATCGGTTCCCAGATATGAGAGCTTGGTTCAAAAGGCATCTTCTTTGCGATATCTATTGCTTCGTTGATCATACCGGCTCTGCATAGCAATTCGATTATACAGGCGTAATGTTCATTACAAGGATTAACTCCATAAGTCTTTCCTATTGAAGAGAATATCTGAATTCCTTCATTAACAAAGCCAGCGTAACAACATGCTACCAAGACACCCATTAAAGTCACTCTATCCGGTTTCAGAGCTCTGTCTATCAACAATTGATGAAAAATGGCAAGGGACTCAGCTGCTAAGTTGTTTCTTGCTAAACCCATTATCACGGTGTTCCAAAAGAACAAATCTTTTTCATCTGTTGTGGCAAACATTCCCATTGCTGAATCAACTAATCCTGTTTTGAAGTACATCTCCATGAGTGAGGTGGCTACTGCCGTGTCCTGTTCAAACCCTAACTTGATAGCCAAAGAATGTACCTGAGCTCCTTGATCTAGCATAACAACATTCATCGAGCTCAGAACGCTACTGAAGGTGAACTTATCAGGCCTAACGCTCTGCCTCATAGCGAGGATAAAGAGCCTGAGAGCATCTTCTCCAAAACCATGCCACGAATAGCTACCGACCAAGGAATTGCACAAGACCGAATCCCATTTCTCCAACTCTCGAAAAAGCTTAACCGAATCCTCCAATCTGTTGCATTTTGAAAACATGTCAATCGCGGCTCCTGAAACAATGGTGTTAGAAAGAAATCCCATCTTGATGCAAAGAGCAATAGCCTTCTTACCCTTGCACAAGTCTCGTAAACCGGAGCAAACAGATAAAACCGTTGAGACCGTGTATGCGTCCGGTTGATTACCCATTTCCCTCATTAGACAAAACAGATCCAAAGCCACTTCTTTTTTGCCATAATCCGAGCAACACGAGATCAAAGAGTTCCACGAGATCACATCTCTATCCTCCATAATTGAAAACACAGATAGTGCATAATCGATAACTCCTAGCCTTCTATACATATCCATCAGTGAATTCCACACCACCAAATTCGACAAACTTAAGCCGCTGCAAATAACATTACCATGAATCTGTTCCCCATGGCGAACACAAGAAACAAGAGAAGCGAGTATCGAAAACGTGAACTCCGTTGGCCCAATCATACATCTCTGCATTTCCAAGTGAATCCTGATCGCATTTTCCATAAGCCCACAAGAACCCAACCCTGAAATCATTGTGTTAAAGCTTACAACATCTCGTTCAGGCATTTCGTCGAACACGTCAAGTGCGTGATTGATATAACCGTTTCGTAATAAACCCTTCAAGCATATGTTCCAGGTTATCGTGTTCTTATCCAGAATATCGTCAAACAATCGGAAAGCATCGATGACGGCACCGGATTTGAAGTAGAGCTGAAGACAGCGATTTCCCCAATAGGTATTGGGTATTAACCCAACTTTGACGAGCTGGGCATGGACGATTCTGGCTAAAGTCGGACACTTTGAAAGCAAAGAGCGGTCTACGCGCGAAAAGTATAGAGATGACGGCATGCAATGTCCATGAACTCGTCGGAACAATGAGAACATACATGTGCGGAGATTTTTTTTCGTGGTTTATAGAAAAAGCCCAAGAAATTGATTTAAAAGTTTGACCAGTATTTGAACCCGAACTGAACCGACCGGTTGGACCAGTATATCCACGACCGATCACTGACAGATGATCCGACAATAACAGGTAACCCAACAGGACAACGATTCCTACGTATATGGCTTAGCGCAATCTAGAACATTGCTCAAAGCGTTCAGCGAGTAACCATAGTTCAGAAACCAAACAAAATTTCCATATTAATCATCACCTATAAAATGGGTTTATAACCCATTTTGAGCATGAGCAAGTGGATGAAGATGGTTGCGAACAAGATTCTCATAAAAATTCCGAGTATGAACAATTGAATGTTTGGAACATAGCACTTGTGTCAGATGCTCATCAAGAAAATCTACATCACTTGCAAAAAGAGAAAAGGAGAATGTACAACTTGTCTCACAGAAGAAATGTAAATAGGGTATGAAAAATAGATTTAGGCCGAATCAATTTCCTCGAAGTAGTTGAACTCAAGAAGCCTTGATGATTTCCTTTCTGCTTTCCCTTTAAAAACACACAAAACCAGAGATTTCACATTTCGTGCCTTGGTATGTAAGGAAGCCTAAGTCTAGCAACGCGAATTAGATTATATACCTTTGAAGCATCCTTGAGAGGTCCCCAACACTCGATCCGGTTGTATTTAGGTGAGCTTGAATGGAAATAAACCCATACATAAGCATCCATTAGCTCAGGGTTCTCTCTAAACATAACCGAATCTCCATGGAGCACAGCTTTTAGTACCTAATGCCAAAGAGTTAGATCGCTCATATCTTTTTTTCATATTTTTTAAGAACCAATTGAAGAAAGGAAGAGGGCTAACCAAAGGCAGTTCCTTGGAGAATATGTGATACCTAAGCTCTGCAGCCACATCCTGTAATAAACTCGGGCCGCTCACGCAACAATGAATATGTAATCGCAACTCGTCTTTCACCTTCTTCCACTCAGCAACCACATCGTCTTTCTTGTACCAGCCTTCTAGTTGATCCAGGTTGATGACGTTGGAGATGGTTAAGGTTAAGTTAGCAGTAAAGTCACAGTGTGAAAGGATATACGTACGCGGCGTAATGATCCCTCCGCTTGTCTTGTTCTCCAGTAGCTTTCCTAAGAACTCCACTTTGAGCTTGGAGGAATCAAAATTTGCTTGTGGAACCAAAATCCTCACAGCCTAATTCACAATCATATCCACACCATTAAATACATTCACAATCTGAGGTAAACTCCACTACATAAACATGTCAATTCAACATTGAATAAGAAGTATTGATGTATCAGTTGAACATTGAGCACTGCAGAAGATTTAGCTAAAAAAACTGGAAACAGAACTTAAGTTTCGTAAAAAAAAACCCCTACAAATTACGATCTTTTCTCAATTTGAAGACCTAAAAGTGCAGAATTTGTGGTACCATTTGAACACTGAATTCACCAGAAGATTCAGCAAAAAATATCTGGAAACAGAACTTAAAGTGCCATTAAAAAAACCCCCAAATTACAATCCTTTGTCAATTTGAAGACCTAAAAGTGCAGACTTTGTGGTACCATTTGAACACTGAATTCACCAGAAGATTCAGCTAAGAAAATCTGGAACAGAACTTAAAGTATCATTAAAAAAAAAACCCCAAATTACGATCCTTTCTCAATTGGAAGACCTAAAAATGCTGACTTTTTGGTACCATTTTAACACTGAATTCATCAGAAGATTCAGTTAAAAAAACCTGGAAAGAGATCTTAAAGTGTATTAAAAACACCCAAATGACGATCCTTTCTCAATTTGAAGACCTAAATATGCAGACTTTTTGGTACCATTTGAACACGAAGCTAAATTTCATATTATAATCAGATCCAATTCAACAGACAACATTTGATTATGATTAAGATGTTTTCGTAATTCTCTCAGTACACAAATCTCACGACATTTAGTGAAAAATTCAAACAAGATAGAACGAATTGTTCACCTCGGAGACTAAAGTATTGTAGGAGACACCACCGTCGCTAATGGCGGAATTTCTAGGAACCCTAATTCTTGTCTTCAAGAGCTTGCCGCAGAAACGGTGATGTTGACCGATGATTTTTCGATTGGGACGAGACAAAACGGGATAGTGGTAGTAAGGAACGATGTAACAGGCCATGGGAGGAACATAACAACAGGGTTAATGCATGAACAACAACAATGATTCTTCTTCATTGTTCATCTTCCACCATTTTTGTTAGAGAAAGAGAGAGATGTGGAAGAATGTTATTCAGAGATACACTCAGCCACAAATTCGCTCTCTTGAGCTTCTTTCTCCACACAAATACAATTTTTACAGATTCAATTTGGATTTTCCTCCATATTATTAATTATTAGTCGAAATATTATGATTGGTGGGAATTGAGCTGAGAGTTGTTCCACGTAAGCAATTCCCTCTAGATAATTGAGCTATGGCTTCAACGTCAATATAACTGAGGGAAAAGAACTTTAAAAACTTTGAAATTTTTAATATTTTCTAAAAACTATTAAGAACTTTTCACGTTGAAATTTTTATCCGATTAAAGCTCCAAATCTTCTATTATTATTAGAGAATGACAATTTAAAAATGATTTTTATATCATGTGTGATTTATAAGAATGTCATGCTGATGTGTCATTATAAAAGAGTTTTTCAAAACACATATAAAAATGCTTATTTTACTAGAGTAATTACATCATTTACCATTAGCATTAATTTGGTTAGAGATTAGTTTATATCATTATATATTTAATACTTAACATTTAATTTGTAAATATATTCTTTTTCTTTTTATTTCTTAACAAGAGATTTATAAAAAATAATACATAATATTACTTAAGTTACTAAACATTATATTTCTTTATATCATATTTCTTTGATCTTAATTTTGTTTAAAAAATCATATTATCCATTTAATAAAAAATTCTAATTTTTTCATGCATATTATAATTATTTTTTTTCTATTAAAATATAAATATCTTAGTCTGATGTTGAACCGGTTAGATAGAACGTATTAATCCAATTTAGTATATTCAAATGTATAATTTTATTCATATAAAAGATACTATTAAAGTTAATTATAAAACCAATAATTATCTACCATTTATGAAATTATACTACAAAATAAATGTAATTGTAATTATTATTTGTAATTGTATAATCAGTGCATAAATTTGTAATTATAAATATCAGTTAATATTTTTTAATTGTATTTATATATATTATATTTGCATATTCGAATAAAAAATTATGATTAATATTTATCCCGCACAGGGTAATCACCTAGTTATTAAATATTTATAGTTTTTGTTGATCCATATGATTACTAAGTATGTTTAAGAGATGATAAAGATGATTAAAATATGAACGATTCTTGGGTTCACCCCTAGGGGGAAATCCTTTCATTCACCCCTTCTTAGTTTAACCAATGAAAATATGCCATGTAATAAAATTAAAAATAACATTTATCAAAACTGCATATTTTTAAAATTCTTTTTTAATTGGAAAAAACTAAACCATAAATTGGAAATAGTGAACCCAAGCATAATATTAAACTTAAATTTTAAACATAAACTAATTTAATTGGACAAAAATAAAGAATAAATTAGAAATAATGAACCCAAACAGAATATTAAACTTAAATTTTAAACACAAATTTTTTTAATTGGACAAAAATAAACAATAAATTAGAATAGTGAACCCAAACATAATATTAAACTTAAATATTAAACACAAAATTTTCTAATTGGACAAAAATAAATCCCAAATTGGAAATAGTGAACCCAACCATAATATTAAATTTTATTTATAATTTATTTTGGATAAATATATATTTTTATATAACTATTTGATCTATTTTTGAAATTTTAAACACTAATCCCTAAAACTTAAACTTTAAACCCTAAACCCTTAATTCTAATATTTATACCCTAAACCATATTCTGTAAACTTAAAAATAAGTTAAAAATAATAATAAACACTAAACCCTACATTTTAATATTACTAAGTATGTTTAAGAGATGATAAAGATGATTATCATCTAATTGGACAAAAATAAACTCTAAACACAAAATTTTCTAATTGGACAAAAATAAACCCTAAATTGGAAATAGTGAACCCAACAATAATATAAAATTTTATTTATAATTTATTTTGGATAAACACATATTTTTATATAACTATTTGATCTATTTTTGAAATTTTAAACACTAATCCCTAAATCTTAAACTTTAAACCCTAAATTCTAATATTTATACCCTAAACCATATTCTGTAAACTTAAAAATAAGTTAAAAATAATAATAAACATTAATCCCTAAATTTTAAAAGAAATTATAATAAATTCTCAACCCTAATACTCTAATCCCTAAATTCTAAACTTTAATCCATTAACCTTTAAAAAATATTAATATTTATATACATTATATATATATATATATATATATATATATTTATTAAAGATCTGAGTGAGTGTTTTAATTACTTAAATTTCGTTTTTTATTTTTATTTAAAAATAATATTACATGTCACATTCTAATTGACTCAAATAAGAGGGGGTGAATAAAGGGATTTATCCATAGGAGTGGGTGAACCCAAGAATTTGTGTTAAAATATAATGAAGTTAAAATTTCCGTAATATAAAAAAGATTTAGTTGCCAAAAAAAAAAAGATTTGATTTTGACAGGAGAGTTGACTGTAAGAAAATAGGTATATTGGAACTTGAGTGAACAGGTTGGAGACAGTGTCCTTTGTATCGATAAGGCGAACGTTTAGAATTTTGAACTAAGTCCTAAGAGAAGTCAGTTCGGCGTTCTAAACACTTGGTTACAGAGAGCTCGGTTTAGAGAGATAGAGAGTTACAAGTAGAGAGAGAGTGTAATAAATTTGGAGTCTCCTTCATAAATGATCTTCGAGGAGTATTTATAACGGGGGTTGGGAAGCAGGTCTCCGCTTAACTGGGGCGACATAACAGTTCCAGCACATTCTATGGGTATGGTTCTCGAGCCGCGTGTTTGAACCACTCCGCAGCGAGTGATGATGAGCTCGTCGTCGAGCTATTTGCGCAGATAGATTATTGTTGGCAAACTGTCCCTACACATGTCAACTCCTGCTCGGTTTCACTCACTGTAGATCAGCGCTGTGATGATGATAGCAGGATGGATCCATGCTGACTAGACTTGTTGACTCCTAATTAACTTCTGAGAATTAATTTTAAATGTTAAGATAGACCTAGTTAATTGGGGTGCTAAGTCCATATCCAACAGTTTTTTCCTTCTTAGTTAACAAAGTATAAAGAAAACTATTAATTATCATTAACTTAATTAACGCAAAATTCTAGTAAAATATATTAACTAATTTTATTTTACAAGAAAACTACACAAATATTTTTTGCCTTAAAAAAATCAACCTAATTTATTTGGTACAATTTAATACATCATTTTCATACTTTTTCTTTTTGTTCCTCTCCTCTACGCGAATTCACTACCGTTGAGGGCTTAAACAATATTATTAACCGCAGTTAATCTTAACTATACATGATTAATAGATGCCTATGAGAATTCATTGATATCCTCAGATAAAGATTCTCCAAATCACTTTGAGATAAAAAAAACCATAATTTCCTATTCTCTTTTGACACATTAATCTCTTCTTTTCTTTTCAATATCGACAACCTAATCTTTCATCGACATTTTGCATGCCCGTAGCAGCGTAGCTTGCTTGTCCATATGCCATTGACATTTTGCCTACCCAAGCTCGCCTACAAGCATCAAAGATTATGTTAGTGTTAAGAGGTTATATAACGTATAGAGATATGAGATTTTGGGCTATCATGAATCCTGAATCTCAAATCACAAAGGAAATGATGTTGTGTCGATCTCAATCCAAATAGAACTTGGGCTTATAATCACAAAGAAAACGAACATATGGAGGTCCTAAAAGCTACATTCCCACCCCTTCTTATAGAAGTTCAATAATAGCTAACCAACCAGGTTTTTCCAGGAGTCAGATTCATGAGCAATCAACTTCTACTCACTCGTAACGTTTCTAAAACTGCGGTTAATGCATTGTAGTTCTAACTCCAAAATCGGTCAAGGGTTCTAAGTAGTTACAACCAAAATTAATTGAACAATCAAATATATTTTCTTCAATCACTTTGTATAACTGTCTCAGTTGGAATGGTTATATTTTATCCAAACAATAAATGAATCATAGTCATCAATTCCTCATTTTTTCTATTTTATGTCTGGTGGATTTAACAAATTACTTTACTCAAAAGAACTTAATTGTTTTATTTTCAACTTTTTTTTATCAATGCTTGTTGTGGGGGTAAAAATTATGGTACAGTAAATAATAAATCAATGGCTAAAAGCTCTAATAAGGTGAAATGTGCAGTTGAGGTGACGAGACGGCTAAAAGGTTCACCGAAACTAAATGCAGATTAAGGCTCTGAATGGTAACAACGTTTTTTGCTGTGCAGGAAAAACGGTTTAAAAGTGTGATACGGTTTAACTGCGGTACGTACGGGAAAATATATTTGCGGGACAATTGCAGTTTGTATATAATATGCGGTACATAAAAATGTTTAATTGGTAAAAAAACAGTTTGCGGTCCATAATAAAATATTTGAATGGTGAATAAGATTAAAACGGTATTGATTACAGATTATATATATATATATAATATATTCAAAAATATATAATAATTAGTATAATTGTAATTAAATTATTAATTTTAGTTAATAAAAATAATTTTATATATTTATGAACTTTAAATTTTTAATTATTTCAAGTAAAGGTTTATTTTTTTGGGATAAATACTGCTACGCAAGATAAAACTTAATTCAGAAAAATTAAAAAAAAATTTTATGGTTAAATGTTAAGATTATTAAAAGAGTTTTAAAAAATACTAAATCATAAGAATTTGATACAATTTATTTAAAGAGATTTATATTTTTTTAATGGTTATGTATGTTTTATAAGAGAAGAAAAGAGGAAGTGAGAGAATTATATTTTTTTAGTCATATATAATAATTTTAAAAAATGAAAAAAAATTAATACCCAGCGGTTTTTGCTTGGACCGCTGGGGTAATAGCGCGTTTCCCATTTTAACAGCAATACTCTCTCTTACTCCTTGAACAAAAGTGCAAATTGCCTTAAAAAAAAAAGAAAAAAAAACGCAAATTCATGCATAAAATCTTCTGATTGGTAACATTCATGCGGTTTTTACTTTGTTTGGTTGAAAACCACTTTTTTCTTTTTACCATTCATAGCTTAAAAGGATCAAATGCAGAACCGTTACTCAAATCCGGAGAAACCAAATACTAATTTATATAAGTGAATTAAGACATCTGAACATAATGACCGTAATCTCAAAAATTAAATATATATTATGGCAAATTTGGTGGAGTAAACTGTAACATTAAACACGATCTCAGAGTATAAAGCAAGGACGAGGGCAAATAGCACATCTCTCCAATTTCTTTTTTTCTCCAATAGGCTATATACTAAAATACTTAGCAATTCTTTGTTTTTATTTTTATAAAATTAAATACTAAATCCAGTTTATTCTACAAACTTTGTTCAAATCACTTCCAGATCATGCTTGGTTTTCTCGAACAACAAATTTTCTGTTTATTTGTCGATAATCTTTCAATTTTTTGTTATTAATTAGATTTTGAGTCCACGCTACGCGTAGATATTTTGTTGATAAAAATTATATGCAATCAACTATATATTAAGATATAAATTTTATATATTAGTTTCTAATAATATATTAAAAATATTATGGTGTTAATCTAATAATTTTTATGTAAATTGTGAGTTTTTAACGATATTTTTTTAATCTATATACAATATGTCATATTTCAAAAACGTATTATTTGGTTAAACACTTATAGTTAATATACCGAAACCAAATAAATATTTTACAAATTAATCAAATGCTACTTTTTAAACATAGTATTGACATGATGATAAAATATAATACATTCACTTCTTTAAATCATGAGGATAATTTTTTTTTTATCATTCTCACTTTTATTCTAATTATATATGTGTTCTTTAAAAACAATAAAAACAACAAAATTTAAAATTTTTTTTTCTCTTGTTCAACCAATACAAATTTTTATTTTGATATATATAAATGTAAAAAAAAACTAATGAATAAAATTTTTGTTTTGAGATTAATAACAACTTGAAATTTAAAACCAAAACAATAGTTAAATATAAAATGAATAAATTAACACAAAATTTGTGTTTGTGTAAACTTTTAAATAATTTTTTAATGGTTATACGTCATCTCATATATTAAAAAAGAATTTGTTTTTCAACATGTTCATTTTTATTCTTGTTATATATGTTTTTTCAATGAATATATCATACTTATTTTTTTTATTTATAATTTTTGTATGATTATATTCAGTTTTATTTACTTCTTCTAATTATAGTTAAGTAGGAAAAATCAGTATAATTTAATACATACAAATTTAGAAAAATAAAATAACAAACTGAACAACTCAAAACTAAGAACTTCTATATTAATCTATTGCAATTCCAAGTCTGAGATTATGTGGAAATATATTTTGCATATGTGAAAAAAATTTAGATAAATATAAACCATAATTATTATTTATATAAAATTTTAGGTAAAAAGTTTCAAAATCAAATAACTTAAACTTGTATAAGTAGCATATATATTTTTATAGATAATAAAACAAATTTGTAACTTGAATAGTGATAATTTTAATATCATGTTAGTTTTTTTTTGTTGATAGAGATTTCTTTATTTTTAATTATTTTCTTTAACCATAATATTAGAATTATGAACCTTTAATTAATTTACAATTTTGATACATACTGTTTGGGGGATTTTCAGTCCTCCATTGGGGGCAAGTTTCCTACAAAACAGAAATGATGTCAGGGCCCGGAAAATACGATGGAGATGTGTTTTCCGAAGGCACTCCGACGTTCAAATCAGAGAACAACTTGAAAAAGACCACAATAGGGTTGTACGGAGACCAGAAAGAAGTCGAAAAACTTAAGAATAAAGTTATCCATGGAAAATTGCAAGTTTTGGTAAATACAGTCCAACCTTTTGCAAAGTCTGTCCTTGACTTTTATTGATAGTCATTGCATAGGCGATGATTACAGAGAACTGTCTATGCCTCATTCTAAAAGGAAATCTTGTCTTGATAGGGGAAATAAACATTTGTGGGATCAAAACTTTTTGACCAATATACTCACCAATTATGTGGCTAGTTTGAATAACATGTTTGGCCAATTGTGTTACCAAAAGTCTTGTTCCATTGCATAAACCACCTCTAGGGTCAATATTCTGAAGCAACATAATAGATATTCCTATTTTTAATTTTAATTCATGGTTCAGCAATCTTGAGATCTTAATACTATTAAGATATTCCTGGATGTAGACTTTTTCATCAATATGAGTACGAAATTGCAGCAGGAGCTTTTTGTTATAGGGAACAACATATCGGTTATCAATTTTAATTCCCCTTTTGGTGATAACTAACCCATCAGGTCTTCTCTTGTAGATAGGGAAATCAGCATCGTCAATCTTTGTAATTGAACTAAAAGGTTTTAGATAGAACTTAGTACACAAACCATCCTTCATGCACATGCACATTGTTCCTATTTAACTCACCGCATAGTCCATGTAGCATATATAGCATCACTTATCACTTCATAAAGATGAAGTTCTAAATCCTTATCTAGAATTTCTGCGGAAATAAACTTGTCAATGTCCGGTTAGAACTTCAGAATATGGATCCAAGAAAAGTATAATATGCGTATGCGGTAAACCTCTCTTCTGAAACTCGATCGTGTACATTGTTGAGCCGAAAAAAAAATAAAATATCAACTAAGTTATTGAGAAACTTGTTAAAAGAGCTTAGTTGTCTTTTTTTTTTTTTAAGTTCTGAGGTAAAGAATTTATTTTTGAAAAACTGATTTTAAATAAGCAAAGGTTGAAAATATCTGAATGTACTTTTCCTAATGCTTTATCTTCGGATTATCCAGCTTCAATTTGAATACTCTACAACACAGATCCAGCCTATCTTTAATATTCAAATGATGTTTTTGTAAATATCTTATAATCTCCGGCCACTTAGGATTACTTGTTATTGTAATAAAGAAAAAAAAGGAAATGACAGGTTGTTAATTTGGTAAAAAAAACTAATTAACAAAAGAAAACTGTGAATTGAATAAATTTTGAATAAAGGGAAAACAATCAGGTAAAAAGAAAAGGAAATTATAAGAGTTAATTGGCTAAAATTTAATTTTAAAAAATAAAAACTGATTAAATTTTGAGTGTTTAAAAAAGGCAATGAAAAAATAAATTTGTAAAAAAGTAAAAGGCGGAAAAATACATGTAAAAGGAAAAGCTAGTTAAAAGAGTTAATCGGCTAAACCTTTTTGTTTTAAAAATAATACTGATTAAATTGCGAGTGTTAAAAAAAGCAAAAGAAAATAAAATTTGTTAAATAGAAAAGGCAAAAAACCATATAAAACAAAAAGGAAATTTTAATGATTTATTTGCAATTACCTGTTGGATCTATTTAAATATATGATTGCAAAAGCTGGAAACAGTGACCTGTAGGAAACAAACGTTTATTATTACATATAAGATTTTAAAGAACTTTGGGGGATCAAGTCTAAGAGAACAGAACAACAAAAAGCATACATTATTAATATAGTTAAATAAGACATAACGAAAAGCATGATCATAATGTGTACAGCCGAAAGAAACGATTAATAAAAGTGACGAAAACAACAAAAATAATGGAAACCAAAATTACAAAATCAATCTATATCGACATAAGCATTAACGTTGAACATCTAAAAAAAACAGAGCAATACCTAAAAAATACTGAGAGTTTAAGAAAATATATAGAACTAAACATGGATATATAAGAGGAAGAATACGCTAGAGTTTAGGTTTCTATGGTTATTATAGTTATTAAAATCGCTGGCCCATAGCCTATTATAAAAAAAAATCTATGTCACGGGTTTGTACACATATGATTAATGATATATCTATCAAAATGAATTAAAACGACACATTATATTTTTTCATTAATGCCACGTAGGACAATCGCTGTGGTGATGACACATATAATTTTTGACCTCGCAAATAATAATATAGATAATTCATCTACATACTTTAAAAACTAATGTTGATGTGTTATCATATATAAAACACTTTAATTATTTATAAATTCATATTAAAATAATTTATAAAAATTAGTACTAATTTCAAATTATTACATATATTATAAATTTGATCATTATAATATAAATCATTACTCATATTAATTTATGCAAATATTTAACATATTTTTTGCAATCGACACAAATTAACATCAATTACAATTATTGATGCAAATATTTACATCACTTGCTTAAATTGATGCAAATATTTTCACCAGTTATCTGCACAATTGATGTAAATATTTACATCACCACTTCCAGAATGACTTATTTAAGTGATACAAAATAATTTTTACATTACTTATAACTAATGCAAATATAAAAAAGAAATAATTTAAAACACACTTTTTGTAGTGATATGATAACTATATTGACTCATGCCAAGATTTAAATTAACGATATCACATAGCATGATCTCATAAGTTATAATTATCTTTCATGTTCCTGTCACTTAGTTTTATATAATAAGATAATACATACAAGTTTTTTTTTATGAAAATAACTATGGAAACAAAATGAATACATAATGAAAATTAAATATAGATTTTTACAAAATAACATTCTTATATTTAATTTATAACTTTTCATAAAAATATTTAGAAAATTTGTAGACTATTACATTTTAAAATGGCGATTCTACAATTAAAACCTGTGCATAGCACGTATACTCACCCAATATATATAAACATGGATAGAATCTGAAAACAACTAAATCTCTAAAATATGGTTGACAATAAAAAAAAAAACAGAAAAATTATGGATAGAGATGGAACAAAATGGATTAAATAACAATAAACAAGCCTCTAATTGATAATAAAAATCCGTTAAATATGAATAGGGAAAGTGCAATTAAGTTGATTCCTTGTGGACGACTTGGTCCTTGACAGATTCAGAGGCGAGCCAAGAAGAGAAGTTTTGGAGAGTAGTGCTGTCGACTCGATAGCCGGACTGGGTAAATCTCTGCAGCTGATGCCAAGTGAAGTCAGGGTACCTTCTAGAAGCTTCTTTGCCTTCCAGAAGTTCAGGTGGAGGTACGATGACCTTGTCTTCTTTAGGACACGAGAAGAAAACCAATGACCTTCTCACTTTCTCTTTGTTAACCACTGCCCTGTGGAAACAGCTCTTGTAGATTCCGTTTGACAATGCCTTTCACATCCAAAATAACACATCTTATCAACAAATTTACGTGATTATTGATCAAATGACATAATATTATAATTATATTATTTCAAAATCGATATTAGTAGATAATCAATATTTTATATCAGTCTTGATAAGTACCAAATAAGTATCATATTTCACAAAATTTATGTTTAGAGTACAAACACAAGGAAAAAGATATCTATTGTATATTGGTGATTTAACATTCTTTTTTTTGGTTCAACAAATTAGTGATTTATCTTCCAACAATAAATGTTGAGTAAATATCCCCCTATTGTAAAAACACTAGTGTTTACATTAGAAAAAAAAAACAGTTTAAGCATTCTTTTCGATAAGTCATTTTTTCCATTTTTATTTTTTCATTGTTGAGAAAATTTTGTGGACTTTTTGACTAAAAAGAAACTTACCATGAAGGTGTCTCCGACGTTGACGACAAGAGCACCGGGACGAGGGCGTACAGTCTGCCACTTTCCTCCGGCAAAGACCTCCAAACCCACAACATCGTCTTGGAGCAGAATAGTTATAGCTGTTGGGTCATTATGGGGACCAACACCGAGGGCTTTGTCCGGTTGCTTGCACGGCGGATAATAGTTGCATCTGAAGATGGCATTTCCTTCTTCGAAGAATCTCCGGAAATATGTCCGGTCTCTTAAACCCATACTTATTCCCAAAAGCTCCATCAACTCCATAATTAAACCGTTCATTGCCTCACAAAATTCTTGGAACACTTGACTGAAACAATATATGTTTTGGTAATCAAGAATCCAAGGAACAAAACAATTCAAAAAAAAAAAATATATATATATATATATATTTACATATTATAAAATGTATCATATGAAAAATAGGGGTTTTCCATAGCGTTTATATAAAGTAAACTATATGCGTGCAATTGCTTTACCCGATCTCTTGACGTTCGTCGCGTAGCCTTGATGTTAGAAATTCCTCAACGACTTTAGGTGTACCCTTCTTGAAAGCCAAAGTCAAAGTCTCATTCCATGGAAGATTTGAGGAGAATCTCTGGCTATGACCAGCGGTATAGCCAGAGATATTCCCTGGGGTCCTGTAAGCCTTTAGCTTCTCATCTTTGGATAGCCCAAAGAACAAACTCGATGTCTCAAGCGCATTCTCAGCCAAGCCCGACTTGAAGCCGTGGTTGATCACTAGAAATGTACCATGATCCATGCACGCTTCTCTCACAGCCTTAGCTGCTAGCTGTGTCTCGGTCTCATCATTTAAGAACCCACTTAGGTTGATGATTGGGAGTTCAAGGTCACCTTCTGAAGGGATCACATCTTTTTCTGGCCAGAAGAATTTGGCCGGAACATTTGGTTGTCTTTGGAGTAGAGAAAAGTTAGCGTCGGTGTTGTTCATTTCTCTTGATATTGCAAGTTTTGTGATTCCTTTACATTAACCATTTTGAAGGGGTTTATATAGAGGTGGGTAGGCGCATGCTGGGTATTAGTGACGATTTACTATAGATGAAGATATTATGTTTATTTGCTTTATCCCTTATTTTGTCGACATGTGTATTAATATTTCTATCTTTATATATTTATGGATAACTCTTTCTATTTCTGTATGTCTTATATTGATCATGATTGTTTTCAAAATCATAATACTGAATTTATGTGTAATAATAGCATTCTCATAAATGTAAATACAAGCACACATATCTCTTTGACCAAAAAAAAAGCACACATAGAAGCTTCAAATACAAATCAATTTTCTTTTAATGTTTATGCTTCGTGTCACGTTTCAACCAAACAATTTTATCTATTTCTATTTATAAATATTTTATCTTAGTAGTATTATTTATTTTAAACGAACACGATTACTAAGTTAACGAATAAAATATGGCAACGTTAATTATTAGTTTTATTTTGTGGACGTCTGGCGCCTTCTTTATTAAGATAAGATATGAATAAGTCTAATACATGCATGCAAATATAAACATTATAATTTACATTATAAAGTCAACAATCTTGTTTTTTTCTTTACACTTCAAAAAATACTTAACAATATTTGATAAAATTAATTTTAAATATAAAAAGTGATATTTCCATTTCTTAAAAAAAAACATTAAATAGACTGAAATTTGTAAGCTATTGGTTGTAAATTGTTTCCTCCCTGTCATGACCAAAATCAAAATCCTTAAGTACATCCTTAATTATTTTCACCACCAATGCATCCTTAGTTATTTCTTCCCAAATTATTTTGCTCATCTTGAGTTTAAACTATTTTCACATATGCAATAAAAATGTAAAGCCGATTTAATAGTTTGCTATAGAAAGATTTGAAAAAAGGTGAAGAAGTTGATGACGAATCAGATGAATGTTAGAGGTGTACTCTGTACATTCGGTTGAACTCGGTATGAATCAAGATCGATCTAATTGATTTTGATTAATTATAGTTTATGTCAAGATAAACTGGATAGTGCCGATTTAGCTTCACGATAATTAGGTTCAACATGTAGCCAACCGAGATTTAAGGAAGATTTCCTTAAATCTCTAAAAAAAATATTATTTTTTAAATTCAAAAGTAAAAAAAAAAAGTTGGATTAAACTAACTTTTATGGCATATATAAAGGAAGAGATTCCTCACTGTAAGTTTATAAAACTTCGTAGAGAATTCTATTAACAAGGTAATCCTTATATAGTTACATGAGAGTATATTTAAATGTAATATTTACAATATCGTTTGTAACAAAAAAGAAATATTCGTAAGAGAATATTCCTATTCTAACACCCTCCGCAGTCTGAGCTGGAGGTGGCCGGAAACTCAGGCTGGACCGAAAGTCTAAGAACAAAGACAATGGCAGCCCCTTCGTAAAAATGTCTGCATATTGATGCGATGACGGAACATGGATTACCTTGATCTGGCCAAGTGCAACTTTCTCTCGAACAAAATGAATGTCTATCTCAATATGTTTGGTCCGATGATGCTGAACTGGATTAGAGGAGAGATAGACAGCACTGATGTTTTCACAAAAGACGACAGATGCTTTGTCTAAGGGACAGCGAAGCTCGAGAAAAAGATTGCGAAGCCAAGTAAGTTCAGCAACAGCATTTGCAACTCCTTTGTATTCAGCTTCAGCACTCGATCTGGAGACGGTTGGCTGACGCTTGGAAGACCATGAAATAAGATTGTTACCATGGAAAACACAAAAACCAGACGTCGAACGACGCGTATCCGGACAGCCTGCCCAATCTGCGTCAGAATATGCAGTGAGACGTGTTGTGAACGTCTTGTAAAGCTGTAAACCTTGTGAAATTGTCCCTTTAACATACCGAATGATGCGCTTGAGGGCAGAGAAGTGTGATTCTCGAGGGTCATGCATGAACAAGCACACCTGTTGGACCGCATAAGAGATATTGGGTCGAGTGAAGGTGAGATACTGGAGAGCACCTACAAGACTACAGTACAGCGTTGGAACCTTAACAGGAGGACTATCCGATCCAGACAGCTTAGGCTTCGTGTCGACAGGAGTGCGACATGGGTTGCAATCGACGAGGTTGGCTCGATGAATGATGTCAGCTGCATAGTTCTGCTGGTGAAGAAAGATTCCTTTGCTGCTTCGTGTCACTGAAATGCCAAGAAAATGGTGGAGGGGTCCCATATCGGTCATGGCAAATTTGGCATGCAAGGAACTGATGATGGAGTTGAGCAGATCCGGTGCTGATGCCGTGAGGACAATATCGTCGACGTAAAGAAGCAAGTACGCAACCTCTTTGCCACGGGACATGATGAACAAGGAGTTGTCACACTTGCTGTGAACAAATCCAATGCGTCGAGCAAAGGAGGCAAAGCGAGTATACCAAGCACGGGGAGCCTGTTTAAGACCATAAAGAGACTTACGGAGAAGACACACATGATCTGGTTTGTTTGGATCTTTAAATCCTGGAGGTTGATGCATGTAGACAGTTTCATGAAGTTCTCCATTAAGAAACGCATTCTTTACGTCTAGTTGGTGAAGCGGCCAGTCACGCGATGTAGCAACACCGAGAACAGCACGAATAGTCGCTGGTTTAACAACCGGACTGAAGGTATCGTCGCAGTCCACACCAACTTGTTGAGATTTCCCATTTGCCACCAATCGAGCTTTGTAACGAGCCAAGTTTCCCTGTGCATCAAACTTGTGCCTAAACAACCACAAAAAATGAACTACGTTAGCATTCTTGGGCCGTGGTACTAAAGACCACATCTCACTTTTAATATGAGCACTATATTCCTCATTAATGGCACCATTCCAGTTAGGGTCCCGAGCAGCTTGTATATGGGACAAAGGTAAGGGTGAGACAGTGGAGGTGTGAAGACAGAGATGAGTGACGGGTTTGGTGATTCCCAACTTGCTTCGAGTCTGCATGGAATGGGTAATAGGTGGAGGTAAGGGTGGTGGTTGAGGTGCAAGAGGAGGTGATGGCACAGGTGGTAATGGTGGAGGAGAAACCGGAGGAGATGGTGGTGGACCAGGTGATGGTGGTGTTGGTATCTGCGGTGTGACTAGCTGAGGAATCGGTTCGATGGTGGGAGAGACCTGCGATGGTAGCGATCTCGAGACAGGAGGATCCACAGCAAAAGGAAAAACTGTCTCATAAAAAATGACATGTCGGGAGAGAATGATTCTGTTGGTAGACCTGTCAAGACATCTGTACCCGTGGTAATCTGTTGGATACCCTAGAAACACGCATGGAGTGGAGCGAGGGACCAGCTTATGTTGCGTTGTTGGTAGAAGATTGGGGTAGCACAGCGAACCAAACACTCGAAGATGTCCGTATGAGACGTCTTTGTTGTATAAGCGAGTAAAAGGAATCTTGTTACCGATTGCTGATGAGGGCAGGATGTTGAGAAGATGAATGGCGGTGTTGAGAGCTTTAACCCAATATCCGAGAGGCATATTTGCTTGAATGAGAAGAGTACGAAGCAGATTGTTGATGGTGCGGATGAATCTTTCTGCTTTTCCATTCTGCTGTGAGGTATATGGACATGAAAATCGAAAACTTGTACCCATAGTAGAGAAAAGTTCCCGAATATTTTTGTTGTCATATTCACGATCATTGTCGCATTGGAGGGATTTTGATATAAGATCAAGGGTATGATCTTATAAACCGATATAGAGGGGGTCCTTGTAGCTGGCCTAACGGCTCTCTCTACTTAGACAAGAGATGAATCGATGGGAAATAGGTTGGTGGGGATTAAACAACTGGCCTAACGGCTCTCTTTGCTTAACCTAGTGGGTGAGACGTTGTGAAGGACAAACGGTGGATCGAAGTGACACACACACAACTGATGATGAAGTTGTGACAGTCAAGAACTCTCAGAATCAAGGGGAAGCCGCACAAGATTCAAAGAACTCACAAGTATAAGAAAAACCTCTCGTTTTATTGATATCAAAAGCAAAAGTCTGTTCTACAAAGCCGCATGTGGAACCTTATAAGAATGGTTCGTCGGCTGGAGCCTTCTAGGGCAAACCAAAAATAAAAGACAGAAAAGGAAACCTATTACAATCGAGAGTTTCTCTAAAAACTTAAAGACAAATGCAAAAAGGAAAAGTAACTTAAAGGACTAATGTTTAATTCCTGCAAAACAACAAAAAGGAAAACTCGTTATTTGAATTCAAATGGAAAACTTACCAGGAAATGGAAAGTTTGAGGCTCCTCCGCGTCTTGAGACTAAGTGATGTCGTTTGGAAGTTGACTGATGGATAATAAGGTTGGGCCGAGAGTGATCTTCAAAAGGGGCCATGCCTTAGTCTCCACTGGATCCTCGAGTGCTTGATCCGTGAGGCTTTCTTGTCTTTCTTGACTTGTGTGGCTGAGTGTGTCCATCTTCTTGTGGAGGTCTTCAAGCTCTTGTTGTGCCAATAGTCCTTCCACAGCTTCGCCAAACTTTTCTCTAAGAGTTCTTGCACCGGATCTTGTCCTTGGCGGCTCATACATGGTGGGAATCTTGGCTATCTCAGGTGGCTCCGGGCCCATGTCCTCATCAGATTTGATGGAGCAACCAAAATGTGAAGAAAGCATTGAAACACATCACTTTTGTGTTTTAACGGGTAAATCCATCCAAAGTGACTATAGTCGTCAAGAAATACCAGATAGTAACGGAAGCCACTTATGCTGGAAACAGGGGACGTCCATAAATCAGAATGAATAATATCAAAGGGTTTGAAAGTAACAGACTTTGATAAATGAAAAGGAAGCCGAGTATGCTTTCCTAATTGACACGCATGACACAATTTCGTCATGTCGGTCTTATTAAAAGAGAGAAAACCAGAAGAACAAAGCGAACTAAGAATGGTTTTATTTGGATGTCCAAGTCGACGATGCCATATAGAGCTGGGGGCCACTGAAACAGAAAGTGCAGATGGTACTGAG